ATAGGAACACAGACTGTCACTTGAGAGAATACAAAGCCGGTCGTTGCTTCTAGAAGAATGTGCGAAAGGGAGGACAAAAGTAAAGGGACCAAGTTTCTTGTTTTCTGCCATCCTGTGTGATTGGGGTTTTATCCTATTATTTAAAAATAGTATATATTAAATGTATTATTAATATATTTATATATACTATGTTACATATTAATATATTGAAAAATCCTATAGTTTTAGACTATCATATAAGGGTTAGACATACAGCCCAGTGGTGGAGCTCTTGCCTCATATACCTAAGCCCTTAGGTCTGAGTCATGCACCACATACCCACACAGGCTTACACATCAACCCCCAGAACATTTCTGTGAATCCTCCATCACTTTCTACAGGCTCAGAGGTCCTTTTAATTTCAAAGGACTAGATTTTAATTATAATAGTAACATATAAACGTTAATTTTCTAAATATAATTACAAATTATAAAGCATATACTAAATGATGTACTTTTAGGAGGGATAATTTGATGTTTTAGGTTTTTTGATAGGTGGAGGACTTTCTTCGTATCACGGGCTTCAAAATAAACTTGCTTCATGAGATTATGGCTGTCTTGCTGTACTCTGCCCTTTGGACAGAAAAATGAGCCCAACCCTGATCCCAAGATAACGGCCATGTTCTGGGGCTCTGTGAATGTAATGCTGGCACACATATATTGCTACTTTATGCTGTGTGGCCATGCTGGGCCGGATTATTTATTAACTGCTTCTCTGGGGGACAGGAATTAAGTGAATTAAAAAAAAAAAGGTTAAAGAAAAGAAAAACGCTGAAAAATGGAGTTGCTTGTAATGTTGAAGCCCACAGCCATAATCCGATTTGGGATTCCGGAGGGCGAGTCACTCATGAACTCTGTTAATGAAGTTTTCAGGCTCAAAGCCTGGGCTCTGGCAGATCAAAGGCTCGCCCACCAGCCCCTGAGTGCCACTAAAGAGACAAATCATAACTGAAAAACAGGAAAGGGGGTGTGTTCAACATGGCCACAGTGGGAAGAGGTCCAGCTGCCCCCAAGTCTGATTTGAGCTGAGTTTAAGTACAGGGCAAATGGCATGCATCACTAAGCAATCCTGTCATAGCGTGACCCCCCACCCCGTCATCATCCAACAGCCTTGCCTAGCTCCAGTGCACACCTTGTAAGAGTATCATATGGTAAGCTGCCAGAACTGTGTGAAATCTCTTCCTCGGAGACAGTTTCCTCTTCTAGTTGGCACCGGCCTTCACCCTGTTCCTTTCCTCACTGTGAGACTCCTGAGGAAATTTTAATATTTAGGACACAGGTGTCTCTTTAGAATATCTTGTCTGACTACAAGAACATAGCCCACAAGATCAATTTAGCAGGGCTCATAGGGGCTCACAGAGACTGTAACAGTCATAGATTCTGTATGGGTCTGAGCTAAGCCCTCTGCATATACGTTGTGATGTGAAGCTTGCTGTTCTTGTAAGACCCTTGACATCAAGAATGGGGCTTTCTCTGACTCTTGCCCGCACTTGAGATCTTTTTCCTCCTACTGGGTTGTCTTGTCCTGCTTTGATATGAGGGCATGTGATTAGCCTTATTGCAACTTGATATGCCATGTTCAGCTGATATCCCTGGGAGGCCTGCATGCGCTCTCTCTCTCAGAGAAGCAGGAGATGTAGATCTAGGGGGGTGGGGGAGGACTGAGAGGAGTAGAGGTAGAGAAACTGCAGTCAGTACACTGTGGGTGGCATTTGCCAGGGAGCTGGCTACCTCTGATTCACACCCCCAAAGGAGCCCTGCTGGCAGAATTCAGGTCTCCTTACGAAAATAAGCAGGAGTAACAGTATGTGATGTTTTTCCTCACATGTGATGCTGCAAGTTTCCAAAGCCAGTCCTGCTCCAGTGCAGTGTGCAGTAGTTGGTGGGAAGCATTCTGGGAGCTGGCTCTAAGTTTGCTTAAAATAAGCCCTTTGGCCCAGGAAACCTTTAGAAAGACAAGCCTGGTCCCAGGAATGGTCAGGTGGCATTCTCTGAAGGTCTTGAATGTGTTTGCATGCCTGACTGACAGAAAGCCTGGTGGAGAGGCACCCGCCCCTGTCCCTTCTTCCTGACTGGCCCTGATGCCCCGCAGCCCCTGCTGTGGTCATCTGAGCTTCTCCTTTTCAGGTTTCTACAAGTGATATTACAAAAGCCTAAACATCTTTCATCACCAAGGCAACTGTGACTATCAGGGAAGAAAAACACAAATAATCCTCTCAACCTCTTGACAAATATGCAAAGTATTCCAGGCCGGGCCAGGCCCTGGAAAGATAGAGGCTTGCAGAGAAGAATTGTTAAAAGACCTTCTTCTTCCGGGAGTGGCTGTTCCTCCCCCACCACTCCTTTACGTCTGTGTCTCAAAAACCATGAAAGATTTCTCTTTGCCAGTCGGGGCCAGCATCTCACATGACTTTGCTGGTCCTGGCTGCATCTCTTGATGCATGCACTTCATGTTTTTTTCCTGGCAGTTTTCTGTGCCGGATCTTCGTTGGTCATCTTATAGGTTATGGCTGGTGGCGAGCTATGCTGGCATTTCCCTCTCTCCTTTTATTTTGGGATATTTAAATTGAAAGTGTGTGCGCTGGGCTTTCCACTCTGCATTAGAGCACTTGCCCAGCACCCACAAGGCCTTGCAGTTCGTCCCTAGTACCCTACCACCACGCACACAAGTACACACCCTCGTTCCTGTGCATGTGCACACGCAAAGTGGAGTGGAAAGCATCTCAGACTCCACCCAGAAAGAATTTGAAAGTGAATCAGGAGAACGAGCTTAAAGCAAGCCTCTTGGTCAGGGAGAGTGGAGAGGGACTCAGAGAGTGCAGAATCCTTGCCGCGGTCTACAGCAGTTCCTAACCTTCCTTTCCCTCACCTGTAAAGTGAATGCAGGACCCACTACGTGCCATCCTGTGAGGCGCAAGTGAGCGAGATGCAGGGCGTGCTGTGAGTACGGCTTGGGGGTTAGGATTGTACTTTCCTGGGTGCAGAATGAATCAAATAGCTGGGGGTGGGGGACTGCGTGGGCGGTGGGGGGCGGCAGGGAGGGAGAAGGTAAGAAAGGAAGTCATGCTCATTTGGACAAAACCATCATTTCCTTAAACTCCAGGCCCTAAGCTTTTAAGTAGGTCACTGAAGGGAAAAAAAAAGTAAGCTCTCCATTTGTGAGGTGGCCTGTGGGTGGCTCTCTGGAGGCCAGGTATTGGGAGTTGTTGTCCCTTAATGGTTTGCAGTGAGTTGGGCTCCCAGTTCACTAGAGATCAGGTTTCCAGAAGGAAAATGAATGCCAAGGGAAATCCCCTTTCTGAAGTTTACAGTCAGGATCTGTCTGGTACCTTGTCATGTGCCATATCTTAAAGTAGCTTGTAAAGGACCATGTAAAATGTTTGAATGATGTTTGTAATATTCATCTTTGACAGCTAAGTCAGATGTAAATGCTTTCTGGTCAGGCTTTGATTACTTCAAATTATAATAAAATACAATTATATAATTGCATAATGTAAAATTATATGATAGAAAATGTGATAAAATTATGTAATAATTTAATGGCCTTTATTGAAAGAAAATATGACATTGGAAACCCCTCCCCCCCCAGACAGGGTTTTTCTGTATAGCCCTGGGTGTCCTAGAACTCACTCTGTAGACCAGGCTGGCCTTAATCCCAAATCTAGGATTAAAGGCATATGTCACCACTGCCTGGCTAAACATACCAGAATTTTTAACAAAGAAAAGAAAACATAGAGACAACGCACACAAAAAGCAAAACCTACAAAAACACAAAATCAGAAACCATAATATACAAGCCAAAATCAGTAAGGTTAAAAAAAAAAATTCTCAGACCAAGCAGCATGAGACAAAAGGTCGACAGAAATACTACTGAGATAATTTGTGTTGGCTAATACCACTGGGCATGGGGCCTGTGTGTCAGTGTGGTTTGTATATCCAGGGAGACTCCCTTGGAGAAACTAATGTTTCCTTTGCAAGCTGTTGTCAGTTGGAGATAGCTTTTGGGTTAGCGTGGGGATTTGTGTCCACTTCCCCTCTCAGCACCAGTAATCTGACTTGAACTTGAGCGTGCCCTGTGCATGCTGCCACGGACTCTGTGGGGGCATCTGTGTCCATCCTGTTATCTCGAAGGCCTTCTTTCCTTAACATTCTCTATTGCTCTGGCTTTTATAATCTTGCTGCCTCCTCTTCCACAGAGTTCTCTGAGCCAAGGGGAGAGATTTGATGGAGACCTCCCACTTAGGACTAGTGGTCCAAGATTTCTCACTGTCTGTGTGTTGTCTAGTTGTGGGTCTCTGTTAGTTCCTGTCTTTTGGGGTTTGTTTGCTTTTTGAGGTAGGGTCTCATTATGTAGCCATAGCTGGCCCAGAACTAGATATACAGACCAGGCTAGCCTCAAACTCACAGAGACCTGCCTTGGATTAAAGGCGTGTGCCACCACACCTGACTGCGGTAGGGTCTTGTATTTCCTAAGGTGGCCTCAAGCTCCTACCATGCCCACTGCCCCAGTAGCTGGAACTCTAGGCCTGCATCACTATGTCAAGTTCTTTATTTTTAGAAATAATTCATTAATGGATTATCATTATTATTATTCTAGCTGATTATAAGGGGTAGAACTGGAAGATAGAACTGAGTGGTACAGTACTTGTATAGTGCTCAAGGCCTTGGCTTTAACCCCTAGTAAGATGAGTACACTGAGTACACCAGACTACCTTTGTCTAGCATATGGGCCAAACAACTTCTTAGAAATAAACATTCAGGGCCAGAGCCAAGTGTTCTGTGGTCTGTTCTGCATGAATGTGTAAGTGAAAGGGAAGTTCTCCATTTCCCCCTTCATTGAGACAGAGTAGAAGTGCATTTGTGTAAGAGGTTAGAGCAGCAGAGAGGCAAGGATGCTGATGGGATCAGGAGCCCTGCTGGAGCTGGTTCCATCTAGATGTAACCTCCTCCTCTCCTTTATAGATGGTACACCTTGAAGTCCAAACCCGGAAAGAAGGACAAAGAGCGAGGAGAAATCGAGGTCGACATCCAGTTTATGAGAAACAACATGACAGCCAGCATGTTTGACCTCTCCATGAAAGACAAGTCTCGGAATCCGTTTGGAAAACTGAAGGACAAGATCAAAGGGAAGAATAAGGACAGTGCCTCCGACACCGCCTCGGCCATCGTCCCCAGCACGACACCCTCGGTCGACAGTGACGACGAGTCCTTCTCGAAAGACAAGAAGAAGAAGTCAAAGATCAAGACTTTGTTTTCCAAGTCGAGTCTGCAGAAGACACCGCTCTCCCAGTCCATGTCTGTCCTGCCCACTTCCAAGCCAGACAAAGTCCTGCTGCGAGCCGGAGACTTCCAGTCCCGGTGGGACGATGATGACAATGAGGATGAGTCCTCCTCCGCCTCGGATGGTGAGTTCCTGTCTTTGCTCACTCACCCTCCTCCTGGGTTTACCTGACTGTGCTCTGAGAAGGGAGAGGGAGGCCTTCAGGTTTTAGTTAACGACAGTGATGATGGTGAATGTTCTTCACAAAAGCTTTAGTCCTTAAGACTATACACATGTCTTCTACAAGGGTTTGGCTCACAGAATCAGTGCATTCGAGGGCTTCTGCTGCTGCTTGTTTTCCTCACAGTTCTGGGAATCTGGCCCAGGGCCTTGAGTGTTCTGGGCAAGAGCTCCTAACACTGCTACAAACCCCCAGCACCTACTGTATATGAAAGAAGACTATAGGACCTTGTGTGTGTCATATTTCAAATTTATCAGATGTCTGCTGAGCTTTATCATGTGCTTACCTCCTTTGTGGTATATCCCTGATGAAAGCTCAGTGGTCCAGCCTCCTTAACTCTGAATCGGAGAATTTGAACTTGAGCTACACTTACTGAATCTCTTTTAGTGGCCAGATTCCGTTACTCTTATCAAGAACATGGCCTTTTCCATTGGTTAACACTGGATTTCTTTAATTCTTCACCGCTGATTGTCCGGGCTGTTGGGAGGAGCCGTCTTGTGTGTTGTAGACTGCTTAGCATCTTCCTGTCGGTTACCGTGATTGGAAATCTGTCCAGAGGTTGACAGGTTGACAGATGCCCCTAGCCATTGCAACTGCTCATTTCCACCCCCCACCCCCACCTCCGGCTCTTCCTATCTTTGCAGAGCTGAGGCTCAAAATGACAGCATTGTGCATGCTGATCAAGGACACCACCACTGACCTATACCCCAAATCCCTCACTCTTTTCTTTTTTTTTTTTTTTTCATTGCTAGAGATTGAACCCCAGAGCCTTGATGCATGATAGACAAATGCTTTAACTCTGAGCTATATCCTCAGTCTCAGTTTTATTTAGTTGTGTGTGTGTGTGTGCACGTGTGTATATACTCTCATGCATGTAGGTCAGAGGATAGCTTGTGGGGCGTCATTCCTCTTTTGACCATGGGGGTCCTGGGAATTTAACGGAGGCCACTAGGCTTTACGGTCTGCTCTTTGACTCACTGAACTATCTCTTCAGCACTTATCCCTTTTGCTGTTTCTTTTCTTCCCAGTCATGACCCACAAGCGAACATCCAGTACAGACCATACACAACCGAACCAGTCCAGCTTCAGCCTTCCCAAGAAAGAAGGGCTCTCCTTCCTCGGGGGCCTCCGGTCCAAGAATGACTCTCTTTCCCGATCTAACGTCTGCATCAACGGGAACCATGTTTACATGGAGCAGCCAGAAGCCAAGAGTGAGATCAGGGAGAACAGCCCTTCTAACTCCCCATCCCCACAGGGTTTCAGGAAGAAGCATCTGTTCTCATCCACTGAAAACCTGGCTGCCCGGTCTCCTAAGGAACCAGGGGAAGGAGGTAGCATGTCCTCTGACAGGCGACTGTCCGACTCTTCCACCAAGGACTCCATGAAGTCCATGTCTTTGCCATCCTACCGGTCTCTGACCAGTGGGGACAGTAGAGAGAGCGTGTCACCGGCAAACACAGAGGCTGCCAAAGAAACAAAAGACAGCAAGAAGCAGGAGAGCAAGAAGTCCTCTTTGCTTTCCCTGGTAACAGGAAAGAAAGATGTGGCTAAGGGCAGTGACAGCGAACCTCTTCCCACTGTCTCAGAGAAAGAGAAGGAAAGGAAAGGCACACTTGTGGAAGCCCAGCTGCGGGAGGAAGACCTTGTGAGAAGACCTGAGAAAGATGTTCTACCTGTTGCCTCCCAATGGGGCAGCTCCCCGAACCCCTTTGAAGACGTTCCGATCTCAGACCTGGAAGCCAGCCTGGAGTCTAAGTCTGAACTGAAACCACCAGTTCCTGCTGCAAGGGCTCTCCAGACCAAAGCTGTGAAGCCTAGGTGAGTCTTAGGTTTTTACATACGGGACCTTTCTCTGCCACTGCCTGGTGTTCAGCCAAGTCTTCACTAGAACAAACCTGGTCAGTCTCAGGATGTGTGTGCAAAGGTTTGCTAGTCTTAAGTCATTTGGACCAATCACCTCTGCTGGTCTGGCCTGCTCAGCACAGAGCAGGGCCGTTTCCCAGCCTAAAGCTACAGTATATGTAAGTGAAGGCTGTCTTCAGTGAGCTAACCAGACTCCAGCGAAAGGAGACCAGCTGTGGGCAACTCTGAGCGCGGGAGCTGAGCGAGCATGGTTGTGGTGGGGACAGGAGAAGGACCTGTGTTTTAAAAGTTAATCAGTGCATGCTGTCCTGTGGAGGTAGCTGCCTTTTCTCCTGGGACTTGGGAATCAGTTTGCTGGTGTGCTACCATTTAGAGCTCCTGTGATCATTCTCTGTCCCTCTGTGCCCGATCCTAAGAGCCTTCCTAAGCCCAAAGGTTCTTCTGCTTTTCTAAGTGACTTTCACATTGACCTTTCTCTGGAATGGGGGTGGGGTGGGGGTGGGGAGACAAGCGTTTGGAGATTCTGCAACAGATAATGCTTTCTCTTCAGAATCCATACTTGTTGCCTTCCGCTATTCTGGAGCTTTCTGGATGCTTTTTGCCCGTTCGTAGTCAATTCTTGAGACTGAGTGTATCACTGAAAGACCTGTAGGCTGCCTGTTGCTCTAGCTGAAGCTTCCCATTGGTGTTGCAACAGATCCTTGTGTGACAGGCGTGCTTGGTGCTAAACAGTCTCTTTCTGTGGGGAGAGTGTGTCTCAGTTGTGAAGGCTTCACATGGCATGGATGGGGACCTGGCTTTGATTTCCCAGCACCAAGGTAAAACAAAGCGATCAATGTGTATGTCAAGAATTGCTGTTTCCTTCACCTTGAACATTAAAAACCTGACCCTCCTTAATGACTATTTTTATATATATATAAATATGTGTGTGTGTGTGTGTGTGTGTGTGTGTCTTGAAATGCAACTGACCTGCAGATTTTATTTTGTCCTTTTTACAGACTGGAAGTTTCACCAGAGGCTCAACCCAAAGCCAGTCTTCCTTCCCCCAACTCTGCTCACTTTGTCCCTTTTCTCTATAGCTCTACTCAGGCTCCTGTCCTTTCTGACTTGAGATATGACTCAGAGACACAGTCCTCTGAAAGTCCTCCTGCCTCCTCTTTCTCATCTCCCCTAGCAGCTCCTATCTCCACATCCACTCCCATCGAACACTGGCCCACAGACAAGGGTGAGGCTGATGCTGAAGAACCCTCTTTGCTCCTCAGAGCAGTCTCTAGTTTAACACCAGCTGCAAACACTGGTTCTTCTGCCTCAGGATCACCTTGGGAACAACTTCCTACATCTGTGTGGAAGGGGACGGAAGAATCTTCAGGGGTCAAGGCCAGAGAGACAGGCACAGGGAAGGAAGCCAGCAGTGATGAGTCCTCACCTCAGGAGGCCCGGGAACTACCCTCAGTGTTACCTCTCAATGGTGGCAGGATTGTAAGCCCCGCTGAGAGGTCTCCCACAGCGTCTGGGTCTTCCATGGAGAATGTTGATGTCGAAGAAGCAACGCCCCCTTTTCAAGAGGAAAAGGCAGCCTCCTCATTTCACAGCATAGCGCAGAAACATGAGGGGATGCATCAGAAGGCCAGCGGGGGCCAAAAGAAGAAGAAACGCGTGTCTTTTTCCGAACAGCTCTTTGTGGAGGAAGAAACAGAAGGACCCACTAGGCTTGAGGAGGAGGATGAAGGTCATCCCCAGCAGCTGACACAGGAAGGGCTTGTTGCTGGAAGCATGCCCCGTGCAGGGTCTCCAGAGTCTCCCCACACAGAAGGCACAGAACAAGAACCTGTGACCGTGGAAGCTCAGCCCATCGTCTCTTCTCAAAGCCAGAGTTTCTCGGAAGGCCCCACAAGTCCAGCCAGAGGTACCCAGCTTCTGAGGGATGAGGAAAAGGATGACCTCATGGCACCCTGTCAGAGCAAAGCCAGCGATCATGAAGGCCTGCTCTCTAACCCCCTGAGTGACCTTCCATCTGCCTCTGATGTGAAATCTCCTATCATGGCCGATCTGAGTTTGTCTCTTCCATCCATTCCTGAAGTGGCATCAGATGATGAAATGGTCGATGAGGCTGGAGATGGTGGAAAGGCAGGGAAGCTGGTTGAGGAAGAAGCGGGAGTTTCACCCTTGAGCATGTCACCTTCCTATCTGGAGGCGGCAGGGGAGGCTAGTGGCAGGGCACGTGAGTCAGTGCCCCCGGAGAATCAGTGTGACTTCAGGCCTCAAACTCCCTCAAGTGTGAAGGAAGAGCTACCAGGCCCTAGTACTGTCGAGGAGGAGAAGCTGAAGGGAAGTGGGAAGCCAGATTCACCTCTGTGCATATCCCAGGAGTCTCCTGTGCCCAGCCCCTCACTCGCTGAGACCTTTCCTGCCGCACACTCTTTCCCCAGCTCCTCGTCTTCCGACACTCGCCACACTGGTGTAGCAGAGTCTCAAAACCAAGCAACAGCAGATGTCTCCGCTAGTAAAGTTGAGAATTTTGGCAAGAAGAAACCACTTCTACAAGCCTGGGTCACACCCTCAGAGATACATCCAGTCCCAGCTCAGCCAAGTGCGGGAGCTGGGGCAGCCAAGCACAGGTGAGACACGATGGATGGGGAAGTTGTCTTTGTCCATTGTCTTTGCTTTTACCTGACCATGCCTTCAAACCAAATGGATGACTGATGTCCGAATGTCCCTGCTTGGCTGGCAAGGCTTGTCACACAGGAGCTGTGTACTTTTGTGCTTGGAATAACTCAAGACCCAGCAGTGTGGATAGCAAGGACGTAATTGTCTTCAAAGATAGCTTAGGAATGGTTCTACGGTGTGATGGAGTTTTGTAGCTATGGAAGCATTGCGAGTGCTTGTGTCTGCAGGGTCTGGGGAGCCAGCCGAAACGGAGCGGTAGAACAAAGCAATGCTGGAATTTCTGCCAAGAGCTTCCTGACGGCAGAGCCCTCTGTGGGGTCCTAGTCTGTAGCGTAACCTCTAAGAATAATAAACTATCGTTCTTTCTCTCGTCTTTACTTTTAACATTGTTTTATTTATTTAAATTAATTAATTTTTTTTTGCAGTGCTGGGGATGGAGCCCGAGGCCTTCTGCATACTGTGCACATACTATCCCACAGAGCTATGGGCCAGTCTGAGAGACGACGGGCCCTTCTGTTCTTGCGCTCATAACCAGACTGAGGGACTTAGAGTCTTCTAGGACGCCCTAGCCAGGGACGCGCGTTACTGGTTGTGTGTGGCCGTCTGGTCCTGCTTACTTTGAATTCCACAGGAGCTAAGCCGTGAGCTGGATTTGGGGTCAGAGATGCTTCCCCTCCCCCTTTTTCTTGTGGGCAGCGGTCTTTGAGATGGGTACTTCTCAGCTTTGCGGTTACTGGGGTTTTAAGGAATCTTTCCTTATCTCTCTAGGCCTCACCCCGTGAAGCCGATGAACACGACAGCCACCAAGATCGCAAACTCTAGTTTGGGGACCGCCACCATCATCAGCGAGAACCTCATCAACGAGACCCTCATGAAGGTGAGTGTCCAGAGAAGGCGGTGTGTGTGCCAAGATTGCCGAGTGCGTGGAGGATATAGAGTTGCCAACCCTTACAGCTGGCCTCAGCTCTTACAGCTACACTGGGGGCTGATGGAAGTACTTGGCTGGCAGGCAGTTCCGGGAATTACTTACTGTGGTGTCTCTGGAGTCTGGATAACTTCTGAGAGCCCCTAGACTTTTCCTTTGACTAGATAGTTATGTTTCCTTATGATTAGTTATTTCTTACTGAGTTCTTCTTTGTCTCTAGCAATATGAGTCACTGCACTGTTTGTCAAGTATGGTGATACTTTTTTTTGTTTATTTGTTTTGTTTTTTAAAGACAGGGTTTCTTCTACAACTGATATCCAATTCAGACATCATTCTCCCCCCTTCCACCCTTTTTTCCCTCTTTTCATACTCTTGTATTGGTTCTAATAAACAATTGCTTTTCAAAAAAAAAAAAAAAAAAAAAAGACAGGGTTTCTGTAGCCCCAGCTAACTTAGAACTCACTTTGTAGCCCAGGTTATCCTAAACTCATGACAGCCTTCATATGGATTCAGCCTCCCGAGTGCTGGGGTTACAGGCAGGTGCCGCCACATCACCTGACACTTGTCTTTAAAAATAAAAAAAGATTTTCTTTCTCCATCTTTCTTATCTTCAGGCAGAAACATAAAATTCTTGATACAGATGTTCTGGGTTTTGCTTCTCAAAAATAGTTCCCAACATTTAAAAAGTTGCAGAAATAGTACGGGAAGCTCCTGTGGCCTCCATCTGGGTTTGGCCCCACTCCCTCGTTCACGTTGGACCCAGTTTGCCTATCCCCACTCTTCCCTGTCTCTCCTGCTCTTTCTCTGTCTGCCTATGCAGGTGTCCATTTTTATCCAAACCATGGGAAAGGAAGTTGTGTGCTTAGAGTCCTTTTTCACTTCTAATTGTGTGCGAGTCTTGTGTGTGCGTGCACGTGTTTGTGTGTGTGTGTGCGTGTGGAGGCCAGAGGTTGTGCTCAGGTAGATACCTTTCTCAACAGCTCTTCACCTTTTGCTTTTTTTTTTTCTCTTTTAAATAATGTTTTTTCATATAATGTACTTTGATCACGGTGCCCCTTCCCTCCTTTCCTCCCAGGTCCCCCCCTACCCATCCAGCTCCGTGCCTGCTTTCTCTCTCTTTTTACAAAACATACAGGCAAGTAAAAACCAAACAAAAACCAGAATAAAAAGGAAAAGTGTATACACACACACACACACTAAAAACACAAAATTAGAAACAATAATATATAAGCAAATGACAAGTAGGGTTTTGTTTTCTTGGTTCTGTTTTGTTTTGTTTTGTTTTGTTTTAAAAAGTCCCCAGATAAAGCAATAAAAGAAAAAAATCTACAAAAATATTATTGTTCGTTTTGTGTTGGTCATCTACCACTGGGCATAGAGCCTGTACATCAAGTGTGGTTTATATACCCAGGGAGACTCCCTTGGAGAAACTAATGTTTCCTTTGCAAGTGGTTGTCAGTTGGAGATAGCTTCTGAGTTACAGTGGGGATTTGGGTGGGGGCACTTCCCGTCTCAGTGCTGGGAGACACCTGGCTTGAACCTGAGCATGCTGCCAGTCTGGGAGCACATGTGTGTCAGTCCCCTTGTGTCTAGAAGGCCTCCCTGCCTTTGTGTCCTCCTCTCTGGCCCGTACACTCTTCCTGCCTCCTCGTCCACAGGGTGCCCTGAGCCCTGAGGGGAGGGATTGTCCAGTTGTGGGGGCTTCTCTGATGGTGGTTGAGTGAACAGAGATCTATAGGTGTGGCAGAATGCCATTAGGACCCACTTTATTGCTGTGTTCCTTTAGCAGGGCAGTAGTATTTGGTTTTCCCCTGGGTCCGTGGCCTATCTAGTCTCAGGTCCTTCACAACTGGAGCAGCGTCAGACATGGGATCCATCTCATGGAGCAGGTTTGTCGTCCAATCAGATGTGAGTGGTTAGTTACTCCCACAGCTTAGACCTCTCTGCCCCTGGCTGTCCTGGAAATATATAGACCAGGCTGGCCTTGCACTCATATCTGCCTCTGCTTCCCAACTGCTGGAATTAAATTCACGTGCCACCACTGCCTGGCTAAATTTAAATATATTAAAAAGTCCTGTGTATTGTTGCATACTTTTTTTTTTTTCTTTTTTGAGACAGGGTTTCTCTGTGTATGTAACAGAGCCCTGGCTAACCTGGACTTGCTTTATAGACCAGGCTGGCCTTGAAGTCACAGAGATCCACCTGCCTCTGCCTCCCAAGTACCACAACGCCCATCTGACACAATTTTATTTTTCTAAACAACTGAAAAATATTCCATTGTGTACATGTACATGTTTTTTTTTTCATCTTTAATAGACATCTAAGTTTTTTCCAATTTCTGGCTGTTATGATATGAACAGTAGTGAATGAGCAAGTGTCTCTGTTGTAGGATGTAGACTCTTTTGTGTATATGCCCAGGAGTGGTATGCCTGGATCTTAAGATCCATTTCCACATTCCTGAGGAACCACCATGCCGATCTCTTTAGTGGCTAGATAAGTTTGCACTTCCAGCAAGAGATGACTGTCCCTCTTACTCCAAATCCTCGACAGCATGAACTGTCGTGTTTCATTGATCTTCGCCATTCTGACTGATGTAAGATGAAATCTCAAAGTAGTTTTATTTGCATTTCCCTGATGATTGAGGATGTTAAACATTTCTTTGCTTCTCGGTGATTTATGTTTCATCTTTTGTGAACTCTATTTAGTCCTTACTCATTTTTAGGTTTGGGTTGTTTTGTTTGCTTGCTTTTGGTTTTGTTGTTGGCTTTTGTTTTGTTCTGTTTTTGAGATAGAGTTTTTTTTTGGTTGTTGTTTTTTTTTGTTTAGCCTGGGCTATCCTGGAACTCTCTATAGACCAGGCTGGCCTCAAACTTCAAGATTCACCTGCTTTTTACCTCCTGAGTGCTGGGAAAAAAGTGTGTGCCACCTAGCATAGAATCTTCTAATGATTTTGAAGTTGTAGTTATATTACTCATTGATTACAGAATTTCTTTTTTTGTTGTTTTGTTTTTCGAGACAGGGTTTCTCTGTGTAGCTAGCCCTGGCTGTCCTGGAACTCTGTAGACCAGGCTGGCCTCAAACTCAGAAATCCGCCTGCCTCTGCCTCCCAAGTGCTGGGATTAAAGGCGTGCACCACCACCGCCCGGCCTGATTACAGAATTCAAGTTGAGATTTTTTTTTAATGTGCACTTATTTGTGTTTTACCTGCATATATGTGTGTGTACTACATGCTTGTCTGGTACCTACAGAACCAGAAGAGAGCATTAGATCCCCTGAAACTGAAATCAAATATGATTGTGAGCCACCACATGGGTGCTGGGAACTGAACCCATGTTTTCTGCAGGAACAACAACAGAGCTCTTGACCTCTGACCCACCTCTCCAGCCGCATCGTTCTTGCTTTTTGAGACAAGGTTACATATAGCCCAGGCTAGCCATTAAGTTTCAGGAATTACAACCAGCATGCAGCGCCAGACAATCTAATGTCCTTTTCTGACTTCCATGGGCACGTATACTTGCGTACCCAGATAATACACAGACATAATTAAAAATAAAGCAAAAAAAAAAAAATCTTTTTTTTTTTTTTTGGAGCAATGTTATATGTAATTTTGAGAGTTGAAAAGCAACAAATATCTAGCACTACAGTAAGGGTTAAAATATACTGGAATAAATTTTTCTAAAATCAATTTGAACTAGAATTTAATTACGCTTACAGAATAATAACAAAATAAGGCTATTCTCAGGGGAGATGGCTCATCTATAAATACACTCTCTGCCAAGCCTAATGGCCTGAGTTCAGTCCCTGGAACCTACAAAGTAGGAGAGAACTGAGTTTGTCCCTCAGTTTGTCCTCTGACCTGTATACATGTGTCATGACTCACATCCCCCCACCTGAAAATAAGCGTAATCATAATGTCATACTTTTAACTTTAAGAAATGCTACAAAACCATACTCTTCCTGATGTCAACATTATAAAACATACCATTTAAAGAAATAAGTAAAAGGAAAGGGCTCGAGACATAATTCAGTTGATGGAGTTGTTGCCTAGTAACCAGGAGGTGTGGGGTTGAGCCTCAAAGCCACGTTTATAAAGGGGATAGTAGCACATGCTTGTAATCGCAGCCCTGGGGAAGAGACAGGAAGATCGTAAGTTAAAAGCCATCCCCGACTACAAAGATAGTTTGAGATCAGCCTGGGCTACGTGAGTCCTTGTCTCAAAAAGGGAAGGCAGCAGAAAGAGAAGAAAGAGAACCTGGATGTGGTGGCAACACACTTGGGAAGTGGAGGCCGGACGTTCAGGAACTTGAGACCAGCGTGGGCGACTCGAGGTCCCATTTCAGAAAGAGAGGAGGAGAGGACAGAGTGGCTGTGGATTTAATGGTGCTGGGCCTTGCCCTTGCTATCACCAAGCTTTACAGTCAACCACTAATCAGTATTTCTTAATAACACTCTTTAGAGTGTAGAGGTGTGATCGGAAACCCTTGAGGATGTGTTTCTCGATGTGAAATGTCAGTGGATGCCCTTTTCCTATTATGGCAAAATCCCTCTCCGTTGCTGGGTTTCCACCATACCTTTTTTATTGAGACAGGGTCTCACTCTGTAGACCTGACTGACCTGGAACGCTTGACACATCCCAGGCTGGCCTCTCCAGATCTGCCTCTGCCTCAGGAGTGCAAGGATTAAAGGTGTACCCCATGGCCAGCCTCATTGTACCATTCATAGTTTAGCAGTGTTGAGTAAATCCGCATTTGTATGTGTGGTCAGTGTCCAGAAAATTCTAGACATGATACTGCCTTTTGCATTGTTTGCTTCCTGAGATACTGTTTCACTATAGCCCAGGCTGGCCTAGAGCTTGCTTCATGATACAGGCTAACCTCAAACTCAAGATCTCCTTGCCTTCATCTCCTTAGTGCTGGGATCACAAGTGTGTACCATCATGCCAGGTCTGAATCTAGTTTTGGAAGTCACACCCAGAGCATCTCAAGGGGTTGTAGGTCATTGGTGGACAGCTGGCTTGCCATGGCCAAAACCCTGAGTTTAACCTAGTTTAACCCCTAGCAGCAGGAACAAGAGCAGAGGCCCAAGAGTATACCCCCTCTGAATATATGTTCTCAGCAAGAAGAAAGAAGGAAAGAAACAAAGAAAGAGGGGCTAGAGAGATAGCTCAGGGGTTAAGAACATTGACTACTCTTCCAGCGGTCTTGAGTTCAAATCCCAGCAACCGTGTGGCGGCTTACAACCATCTGTAACGGGATCTGATGCTGTCTTCTGGTGTGTGTCTGAAGACAGCTACAGTGTACTCATATACATAAAAATAAAATCTTTAAAAAAAAAACAAAGAAAGATAATGAGTTGGGGAGAGAGAAGCAAATATTGTCGAGGAAGCTATAGTCTCAGTTATTCGTGCACTGCCTGACCTGGATTCAAGCTTGCTCTGTGTAAAAGCAGCAGTATGTGCTTCTAGGCCAGCCAGTGAGAGTAGGATTCCTGAATTCCTGTTCCTGGGCAGTTTGCTTTCTGAATGAGGTAGAGGCTTCTGCACTGTTGTTGAGCTCCTAGTGTTGGTTCTGCCCCTGACTCTGTTTGGAGCTGCTGGCAGGCTCTCAGTTTATTGGTCTTCCTGGTAGAAGGTAAAGGTGGCATGCCCCTGGTGTACAAACTGTTGACTGCCTTGGAGTTCTTTGGGTAAGAATCACCTTGAGTTGCTCTGGAGCCTTGTTTCCTACCCGTTGTAAATCTCTAAGCTGCAGCTTGGCTGCCGTGTCTCTCCTCCTCCCACTCCCTCCTGAGACCTTGGTGTGACTTGTTACTTCTCAGTGACTCTTTTATCTCTCGTTTTCTTCTGGCTCAGAACTCTTGTGCTCACAGTTAGAGCCCCCTTGTCCCTGATGATAAATGCCCGTTAAAAGCAACTGTTCTGGGTACATTGCTCCTATCAGAAATGGGAACAGTCAGTCTCTGAGAAAGGCCACCATGTACCCAGAGAGTGTGTGCTCCAGTGGCCTGTAAGGTCCATAGCCTGGTGGCACTTGGCTTTAGCTATTTGTGTTTTCAGAGTGTAGGGTAGCTTTTGGTGGGGTCTCAGAGGGAGCTCGAGGGTAACAGATTGGGCTGACTGGCAGACATCCTGCTGCCTCTAGGTTTTCTTTCTGGTCCACCTTGGGGCTTGTCCCATTTCTGCACTGATAGCTGGTTGGATGACTCTAGGAATTTTCAAGGCTGGTTTCTTTTTTCTTTTTCTTTTTTTTTTAAGTATAGAATAGAGTTTATTCAGGGCATGGGGAGGGAAGTTAAGAGGGTAGTAGAGGCACAGAGAGAGAGAGAGGGAGAGAGAGATGTTTTTGTTTTTTGTTTTTTGTTTTTTTTTTGAGACAGGGTTTCTCTGTGTAGTTCTGGCAGAGAGAGAGTTTTGTTTTTTGTTTTTTTTTTCTCGAGATAGGGTTTCTCTGTGTAGTCCTGGCTGTCCTGGAACTCACTCTGTAGACCAGGCTGGCCTTGAACTCAGGAATCCGCCTGCCTCTGCCTCCCAAGTCCTGGGATTAAACGCGTGCGCCACCACTGCCCGGCATTCAAGGCTGGCTTCAAATGTTAGAGGCCAAGTGGTCCGGGCACCTTAGTCTCCCAAGTAGCTGGGCCTGAGCATATACACCAGATACCTGAGCCTGGCTGATCATTTGATGACTACCAGATACCATCAAGGCCTCATTATGTTCCTTCTTTCTTTCTTTTATTGTATGTATGTGGTTGTTATGCTTGCATGTATGCATGCATGTATGTTTGTGCACTGTGTGTGTGTGTTAGTTAGGAGCCACTATGTCATTGCTGGGAATCGAACAAGGGTCCTCTGAAAGAGCAGCCAGTGCTCTTAACCACTAAGCTATCTCTCTAGCCCCCTTATTACATTTCTTGACAACATGTACCTCTGCAGAGTCAAGACCAGAGGTGTGAGAACTGTAAGCCATGTAAGGTTACTGCTCTTTGGTGCTAGGAATCAATCCTGGGGCTTTTATACATGCTAGGCACGTATTCTGCTACTGAACTGTACCAAGGCCCCTGGTTTTTGGTTTTTACATTTTTCAAAGGATCATAAAGCAAGAAGAAAAAAAAAAAAACATGTAACCAACTGAGACCCACTCTACAGACACCAAGGTCAGCCATCTGGTTTCATCCCTTGTTGAAAGTGGATTTATAAGCTGGATGTGCTGGCGCACGCCTTTAATCTCAACACCTAGGAGGCAGAGGCAGGCTGATCCCTGAGTTCATGTACTCTGCTGACTTGTAAACCTTTCCCTCTCTCTTCCGTCTCCAAAGAAATACCAGCCCTCGGATCCCGCCTTTGCCTATGCGCAGCTAACCCACGATGAGCTGATCCAGCTGGTCCTCAAACAGAAGGAAACCATCAGCAAGAAGGAGTTTCAGGTGCGGGAGCTCGAGGACTACATTGACAACCTGCTAGTCAGAGTCATGGAGGAGACACCCAACATCCTCCGAGTGCCGGCGCAGATGGGCAAAAAGGCTGGAAAGATGTGAGCTGCTGGAAGGAAACAGATGTTTAGTGAGCTTGTTTCCACTGCCTCTCGGTCAAGGGTGTGGTCTGCCTAGTAACCGGCACGCAGGTTCCGACTACGGCTCTGTGTGTCGTCCGTCAAGAGTTAATTCTCCTAGTTGAAACCAGGTTAATTATTACAATGAATCTTTTACTATACATTTAACAGCATTTTATTTTTAAATGCCACTGTGCCTTTGACTACATTGTAAATATCAGATTTGATCCGATGTATTTAAACACCAGGGTTGTTGCCCTTTGATACTGAGGTCCTGAGGTGTGGATCCTCCATGAAGGTAGGCTTAGGGTGAGATGAGAAAGGGACTTTGGGATGCATACTGTGGCCCCACCCCCCAACCCCCACCCCCGTCTCTTGGCCTTTAAGCAGCTCGGGTGAGGCAGTCGCTCCATTTTTAATTCAGGTAAACTCGAGGACTCAAGGGTTGTTTTCGTGAGGGTTGGTTTGGGAGGCATTGTTCTATTTTCAAGGTGGTGTGTTATATAGCCTGGGCTGCTCTTGAACTCACTGTGTACTGAGACTAGCCCATTCTCATCTTCCTGCCCTCACTTCCCAAGTGCTGGGATTACAGCCGTGTTTGATGCCTTCTAGTTGGAGCACAGTTGTTTACAGAAAGCCTCTGAGCATGCTTCTTAGATTTTTTTTTTCTTTTTTTTTTTTTTTTAGGTTTTTTTCAAGACAGGGTTTCTCTGTGTAGTCCTGGCTGTCCTGGAACTCACTCTGTAGACCAGGCTGGCCTCGAACTCAGAAATCCGCCTGCCTCTGCCTCCCAAGTGCTGGGATTAAAGGCGTGCACCACCACTGCCCGGCGCTTCTTAGATTTTGAATATGCCTTTTACAATTCCCACTACCCTCTAGCCTTAAAAATATGCTCTTTGTGGGTGGAGGGCTATAGCTCAGTGGGTCAAGTGCTTGCACCGCAAGCCTGAGGGTCTGTGTTTGGATTCCATGCAAAAGCCAGGGCATGTGTGTGGGTAGGGGCTGGGCTGGGGGAGGGCAGAGCCAGGCAGATCTCAGGGGCTCACTGGAAACTCCAGGTTCAGTGAGGGAACCTGTCTTAAACAATAAAATAAAAAGCTACCATAGACCACTGCCCTTTATGTGGACACACACACACACACACAGACACACACACACACACACACACAAACTCTGTTCTTTAGATCTACAGGGCCATTTCCTGGAGACATGAAAGAACTAAAGAGTCACTTTTCAAGCTGGAGCGATGGTCTAGTGGTTAAGAGCACCAACTGTTCTTCCAGAGAACCTGGGTTCAATTCCCACCAACCACGTGGTGGCTCACAACTGTCTGTCATTCCTGTTCAAGGGAATCTGACACTGTCACACAGATATACACGCAGACAAAATATCAATACACATAAAATTAAGTTAAAAAGGAAAAAAAAAGTCAGTTTCTACTTAAGTATGGAAGATAGGTCAGAATCTCTCCTCTCGGGATACCGGGGTTCCTATTGCTGGGTTGGCCTTGCCAGTGCCTGGAGAGAGGGCTGGGTGCTCCAGACTCTGACTACAACAGCTCTGGGAGGTAGAGAATGATTTTAGTAAGGGCCTTTTGGCCGTTTCCTTCCATTTCCTTGTCTTGCTGGCTTTCCTGGCAGTGTTCCTGGAAGGGAGTAGACAGAGCCCACTGATTCCTCACGATGAGGGAGTCTCAGGCTGGGTAAGTGCTCCGTGGTCGAGCTCCCCCACCCACACGTCAGTAATAAGTAACAATTGTGAAGAGCGACAGCATGACATTTGCTTTTTTTTTACTGCTACTTCCTGATTTGGGGAGTTCTGTTGCTGCTATTTTGAGACAGGATCTCACTGGCTTCAAACTCCATCCCCCCTGCCTCAGCTTTCCAATTTTCCAAATACTGGGATTACAGGTATGTGTCACCATGCCTGATAGATCAATATATTAAATACACACACAGACACACACACATACACACACACATACACACACACATACACACACACACACACACACACAAAACCTCTTTTTTCACCAATAGAGGGAATTCCATTGCTGATCACCTCATTCTGGAAATAAAATGTTTCATGTCGTTCATTTTTTTTTCTCCCTGGTTGTAATAAAAATCTCATCAAATGTTAACATCTGTGCTAGGAGAATCATAGGCCAGTGAAGTGGACAGGGTGGGCATAGTGGTGGTTATCATTGAAGAATCTGTGTAGGTTCTTATCACCCTGAAGGTGAGGAACATTGATTATACTGGAGCACTTTAATCTGAAGGGCAAGACTGTAACTTGATTTATCTAACTAGCTATTGATGATCCACACGTACTTTTATTTAATCTCTCCTACAGTACTAGGGACCGCTGCAAATTTCTGAGATGATTTGTATTTTTTCTTTTTAGTGTTGTGAAATTCATTAATATGCCTATAAAGGAAACCATATCTGCTTGAACTCTGAAAATGTACATGTATATTTCTGTTCTGCGTCATGTTTTTTTTTTTTTTTTTTTTTACTTGATATAAATTCATTTTTACTGTGACAACCTAAGTGCACTGGAGCACTGCTCAGAAGAGCCAGCCTGGGGAGCTACTTTGGTCATGAAGAGTCTGGAGGTGGATGTAATCGAGTCAGGTCTAGAGAAGGACCGTCTAGGTGGAGTGAATTCCTGTGCTCTGAAATGCCACTTGGGAACTCTGGAGAATGAAGGACAGTTGACCTCAGGGGTGCTTTGCTGGTGTCTGCCAGTGCTGGGAAACATTGCATTTCTGATTTTGCTGTACCTCATGAAGCAATAGAGGCCACGCCTACTTAATAACTGTTCTTGACTATTTGGTTGGGAACTAGGGAACGATACCAAGGGAAGCTGAGCCTGCACTGAGCCACTGGCAGAGGCTGGTGACAGAGAGAGCCCTGGAGCTACTGAGGCTCGTCTCTGGCTTGTACTTGTAGCTTCCAGTGATGCCAACATGAGGTGCCCTGGAGGAGAATGAAGAGAAGGAAGGAAAGAAAAGAAGAGAAAAGAAAAGAAAAGAAAAGAAAAGAAAAGAAAAGAAAAGAAAGAGCCCTTTCCTTGCCCTTGCCTGGCTACCTCCAAGAAAGCCCAGCCAGGGGTTTTGGTGGGGTATTGGATTAAATGCCAGCAGACTCCATTTGGAGGACAGCTTCCTAAAAACCAGCCAGCCCTTGGCCTAATTGATTCATATCATCTTATTCTTGGCTTTGGCACCCTGCCTGCCTTCCCTGTTCTATTCCGGTATATTACCTTTACTTGGGCCACAGAAGGAAGGAGCAAGCAACCCTGCCCCGTGCCGGGCTCCACTTCTCTCCATATGCAGGACAGGTGAGCTGTGTCCTTCCAGCTTCTCAGTTCACAGTGCAGCAGGAGCGGCTGGTCCACGATGCTTCGCCCTGTACTGTATTGAGGTTAGAGTTCTCCATCCCTGCGTTCTTCTCCCAGTCAGTCCCCTCCCCCCACCTTTGGTGTTAGGGATTAAACACAGTATCTTGTATGCTAATCCCACGCTGTGCCTCTGAGTTTAGCTGGACCCTCCTCCACATCGTGTTTTTGTCTCTTGAGACAGGTTCTCATGTGGCCCAGATTAATCTTGAATTGATTCTATGGCTACTAATGTACTAATGACCTTAAACTCCTGATCCTCCTGCCTCCACCTTCCAAGTGCTGGGAATATTAGAGTGTACAACCATTCACACAGCTTTTAGGTTTTTCGTGCGTGGATGTGGATGCTAATTAAGGATCCTTCAAGACTGAAAATCAATCAGTTGCCTTAGATAAGGAACATGAACCCACACCAAACCCATCTCTGGATTCTCCTACCTACTTTGGTAAGCTACTAAATTGACTTTCACCTCCCGCCAACTGAAGGCTCGCCTAGTGGAGTTGTTGTTGTTGTTCTTTTGTAACGTTTGATTGGTTGGGGTTTTGGGGATTTTGAGGGGCTTTGTTGGTGACAGTTTGGTTTTTCGAGACAGGGTTTTTGTGTGTAACAGCTCTGGCTGTCCTGGAACTCACTCTCTACCAGGCTGGGCTCAATCTCAGAGAGCCACCTGCCTCTGCCTCCCGAATGCTAGGATTAAAGGCGTGTACCACCACTGCCTGGCTTCACCTGGTGTTTTTTTAATTACAGAATTACTGTTCTCTGCTGCCATCCTTTGGGGATTTAGAATTTGGGATTAGGTGCCTAGTTTAGTTAGTACTGTGCTTGCCTTACATGTGCAAAGCACTAGGTTTGCTTACACACCCCCACCCCAGGACTGTGTAAACTGAGCAGTGTGATGATCCGCACCTGTAATCCCAGCCAGCACTGTGGAGGTGGAGTCAACAGTTCAGATGCATCCTCGGCAGCATAGGGAGGTTTAAGTCAAACTGTGATACACAAGACGTTGTCAAAACAAAACACAACCTAAGACTTTCTAACAATAAATAAAATCATACTACTTTTCAAGTTTTGTGTCTATACTTCAGGATGCGCATGATAAAAGTTCCTTCTGTCTTGTTGGAAAACTTTTAGGGTGGTGGTATCCAATGGTGATCTCTCTCTCACACGAAGTCCTGCAGCCACACCATGATCTGTGCCATAGAGTGTCTAAGCCTCTTGTGAAGGGGACAGAGCATCACTGTCTTGACTCTTCATAGTCCTGAGTGACCATGGCATTGACACCACGTGAATGTCTATCTCAAAGTTTCCAGAGGGAAGCCTTTTCCTTGGGTTCAGAAGTACCCCGTCTTAGCAGCAGATCCTGGGCAGTCAGCTCAGCTGATCTGCTAAGACGTTGTCAGGTGTCTCCTCCCAGGCTCATCTAATTCAGCTCACCTTTCCATCGAAGCTGTCAGAGCATCTGCTGGTCTCACAGGTGTGGAGCGCGGCTCATAGACCTCACTCCATAGACTCTGGAAGGGGGCAGATACTGTTCCTCCGCAGAGATCACATAACAGAGCTTGTGAACATAATCCCAGTCTCCACACAACTTCTTGATAAAATTCACAGCCCTCTTAAGGAGGGAAGGACAGCTTGGGGATTCTAGAAACTCTGAGAGCAAAGTTTTTATAAATGACATGGCATTTCGAGGCTTGTTTCTCTTGCCTCTTTGTTTGCAATTCTTTCAGTTTGGTTCCTGCAACTTCTGCCAAGCTGAGCACTTAGAGTCAGCCTAGTGTGTTTTCAGATATCCAGTCTGAGATATTTGACACAAGTGTCTTGTCCTATGGGTCCCTTTAACTTGACTATTATTAACAGAAAGTTTTTTTTTTTTTGAGAGAGAGAGAGAGAGAGAGAGAGAGAGAGAGAGAGAGAGAGAGAGAGGAGACAAAGATAAACCAGGGAAATGGTTATAGAGTAT